GCGTGGCGCTGTAGGTTAATGCGCCAGACTGCAAAGCCGTCTGAACTGTAAGGTCAGTGGTTCAAGCTCCCCAGCTACTCCTTGGAAACCCTATACAGGGTCGCTATGGGTCAGAATCGACTGATGGCACTTAACAACAACAACAACAACAATATAACACTTAGCCCATTTCTCTCGTTTCCATTCCTCCTTCTTTTCTGACCCTACTGAGCTTTGTCCTTGGATAAATGCTGTCCTTTGACCTCAAATGGCTGATTATTCTAAGGCTTATCTCACTAGTGTTATTGTTCCCTTTATTGACCTATGGTGGTAGTGGTTATGTGCCTGCCATGGGGTCAGTGACGACTCATAGGGACCCTCTATAGGGTTTCCGAGGCTGTAAATCTTTACGGGAGCAGAAAGCCTTATCTTTCACCAGCGGAACAGCTGGCAGTTTTGAACTGCTAACCTTGGGGTTCGCAGCCCCATTCGTAACCGCTACGCTACCAGATAGTTGTGCTGAAAATTGAACCTCAGGGGAGAGTTCCCTTCTAGACCTGAGGACTGACTAAAGGGTAAAGGCAAAGAAGATGTCACATGAAGATCACTAAGGAACCAGACGCTTAAAAGAGATACAAACCAGAACCCAGAGAGAAAGCCTTCCTCTAGACCCCGTACCCAGAATTCAAAGTGCTCTAAACTGGCAAGGAGCTCTGGTAGCATAGTGGTTACGAGTCGACAGGTTACCCCCAAGGTCAGCAGTTCAAAACTACGAGTAGTTCCATGGGAGAAACATGAGGTGTTCTGCTCCTGTAAAGATTTACAGCCTTGGAAACCCTATACAGGGTCACTATGAGTCAGAACCGACTCCATGGCACATAGCTTCCAAGCTGTGTGGTGCTTTAGGGTCAGCACTGGACTTCAAACCACAACATTGATGGTTTAAACCCACCAGGTGCTCCTAGGAAACCCTATAGAGGGTCGTTATGAGTCGAAACTGACCCAAAGACACTTAATAACAAACAACCACGAGGAAATAAGTTTCTATTCATTGAAGACACTCATTTGTGATATTTTATTTCAGCTGCACTAAGAAACTAAGACATAAGCCTAAAACTCATGTTGATATAAAAAACAATTTGACAAAATAATTTTTGTGCTGATTCTAGTTGAAAGTGTGAAAGATATAACTTAGATCTTCAAATTTATAAGAAAATGGGACAGAAATTTTGAAATTGTGATTGTCTTTAAAACAGCAGCAGCAGCAGCAACAAAATCATAGCATATTTGTTATTAAGTGCTGTTGAGTCAGTTCGAACCCACAGCAATCATATATAGGGCTTCCGAAGAGCGGCTGGTGGGTTTGACCCGCCGACCTTGTGGTTCAAACCGACTTTACAGTCCAGTGAATTATCCTGCAGCACCACACCAGGTCAGCTAAAAATAGCAAAAATTTGCTGGGAAGACCAGGCTCAATATTTGTTGCTAAGTGTCATTGCATCAGTCCGAACCTGTACAGGATTTCTAAGAAGCAGCTGGTAAGCCTGAACAGCCAACCTTGAGGCTCAAACCAGCCTTGTGGTCCAGTGTTTATCCTACAGCTCCACAACAGAACTTCAGGCTCAATAGAAAATGATGCTCTTATACAGACAACCCCCAGGAGTTTAATATAAATACTATCAAGAAACCTTTCTGCTGTTAAGTGCCACTGAGTTGTTTTCTACTCATAGCGGCCCAAGGAGCAGCTGATGGCTTGAACTGCTGACCTTGTGGTTCAAGTCCACCCCAGAGCATTAACCTGCAGCGCCACACCAGGACTCCATGTTTCTACTAGGCAGTTAGAATTCCACCATAATTAGACTGTAACATAAGGCAAATCTGTTGCACAAAACCTCTTTGAAGAATTCAAAAGCAAAGATGTCAGTTTGAAGACTAAGATGCACCTGACCTAAGCCATGGTATTTTCAGTAGCCTCAAATGCATGCGAAAGCTGGACAGTGAATAAGGAAGATCGTAGAACTGTTGCATTTGAGTTATGGTGTTGGAGGAGAATATTAAAAGAACCACGGACTGCCAAAGAACAAACAAATCTGGGCTGGAAGAAGTACAAGCCAGTATACTCTTTGGAAGAGCATGACCAGACTTGATCTCTCATGCTTCGGAAATATTATCAGGAGGGACCAGTCCTTGAAGAAGGACCTCATGTTTGGTAAAGTGGAGGGTCAGTGAAAAAGAGGAAGACCTCCAATGAGATGGACTGGCACAGTGGCAGCATCAATGATCTCAAGCTTAGCAACGACTGAGAAGGTTGGGCAGTGTTTCATTCTGTTGTGCATAAGTTCGTTATGAGTCACTACCGACTTGATGGTACTCTAACAACAATAAGGATACGGAACCTGGTGGAGCTGAAGATTAGGCAGTGTGCTGCTAAATGCAAAATTAGTAGTTCAAACTCACCAGCCACTCCATAGGAAAATGATGAGACTGTTACTATAAAGATTCACAGTTTATGAAACCGTACATTGGGTAGTTATGAGTTGGAATCGACTCAGTGGTAGTGGGTTGGGTTTTGGTTTAATACAAGGATAAAGGAGCTCTGGTAGCATAGTGGTTACAAATTGGGCTGCGAACCTTAAGGTCAGCAGTTCGAAACTACCAGCCGCTCCGTGGGAGAAAGAGGAGGCTTTCTGCTCTCGTAAAGATCTACAGCCTCGGAAACCCTGTACAGGGTCGCTATGGGTCGGAACCAACTCGATGGCACATAACAACAACAACAACTAGTTTTCATGTAGGAAATCCTACCCAAGCCCCCACCCCCATACCAGTAAAACACTAAACATTTTAATAGTCTACCACCTCATGTGAATCTTAATGATTCTGTGAGAAACAGACTGATACTACCCTCCCTGTTTTACAGACACACCTTGGAGATATATTGCGTGTTTGGTTCCAGACCACAATAAAGTGACTACAGAAATAAAGTGAATTCCACAGAATTTCTGGTTAAAAAGTTATGTTTACACTATCCTGTCATGTATTCAGTGTGCATCCTGAAAAAGGTTGAAATGCTGGACATTTTATCAAAACGTGGCAAAGAGACCAGAAGTGAGCACATGCTTTTGGGAAGATGTCACCACTAGACGTGTTTGAGGAATAGGGGTTATCACAAAACTTCAATTTGTAAAAAATCCTGGTATTTGCAAAGCACTGAAAAGCTAAGTGCAATAAAACAAGGTACGCCCAACTCCCAATCCAGACGCAAGATGTCATCAAGGGTTTAACCCCCAGGCAAAGTCAAGCCAAGCAAGCCATTAGGAAGCAATTCTTAGATGAAGCTACAGCTTCCAGAAGACACCATGTGACATGAGATCAAATGGCTGCTTCGTACATGATTAGGTTCTTGAGAATTATTATTAAAGTTGATACACAGGAGCATAGTGGCTTTGTAGGATAAACACTGGAGCGCAAACCACACTTTGGCTGTTTGGACCCACCAGTGGCTCCTTGTGAGAAAGGTGAGGCTCTCTTCAACCTCAAATTCTATACAGGGTTGCTCTAAGTAGGCACTTAACAAAAAAAGTCAAAGTCAACACAATTCAGTTCTACATGCTAACTGCACCCAGAATTGTAATGTCCTTCCCATGGGGAGGACACAAGCATGTAAAATAAGTCCACGGAGAGTGAGATACACTCTCAAAGGACCTACAGCTACTCTAGGGACACACAGAGGACAAGTCACAGGTGGCTATACAACAGCTGAGCCTTGAAAGGCAAGTGAAATGGGTCAAAAGTGAATAAAACGATTTGAAACACAGGGAGCAGTGAAGCAGAATTAATAGCTTTTTGGTCTTGTCCTCACCCCACCTGTAGCCTGTATGATTGTCTTGGAGGAAGCAATTACATCTCTTAAAGCATTCTCATCACTGAAAAGATTACTGTATTTTATGGGATTATTGTCTTCCACGGAAATCTAAGAAACTGACATATTCTTTTAGAATAATCCACCAGCTGGTCCTCAGAAACCCTATGAGTTACAACAATCAGCAGCACTTTACAACAACAGGACTGGACCATGTCATAAATATCAAAGTGAAGTGTACCTAGGCATGGAGGAGACATTCTGGGAGACTCTTGTGGGCAGCTGGTGAGTCTCTCAAATTACAGCATTACCTCTAAACCAGTAATTCCCACTCTCACTGGACACATGAAAACCATACAAATCCTTAATTCCTATCCTTAGTGATTCTGATTTGGCACATGAGAACGAGTTTGATACTAGGAGTTTTATCTAGGTGACACTGAAGCTCAATGAAGTGATTATTTTTTGAGATAACATAGGCAGGACTTGCTACTAACAAGTAAGAAAAAAAAGTTAAGAAAAACAATAACTGATTTTAATGGACCACTTACTTGAAAATGTTTAAAGATTAATTCAGGATTGAAGTACAACTGAAATGGTGTGATCAATTCCAACTGCTGAAATAGAAAAGGAGCTTCTTAAAGCAAATCAACGAAGCAAATTCTCCTCATTTCCAAGAAAAGAGTAGTAAGTCTAGCAATTTCCATCACTTAAGTCATTTAGAATGAAATCCTTTAAACCCTTCTTGGGCTAGAGAAATAAATTGGTAAGAATAAACAAAAAATCTTCAGAAATGGTACAATTCTTTGTGTTCCCAATACTTAACATACAATAAGTTTATTTTATGTTGAGGTTGACATAAAGATATCACAGGAAGGTTGTGATCACTTAATAGTGGACAAGTCACAGCAGCTGCAACAAATGTGCGTATCACATGGGCATTGCCAAAAACAGCTGTGAATGTAATTCACTCGTCTGAGAAAAAAACAGAGACTCAATACCCTGCCGCCGTCAGAGCTGGGTCCCTCCAGCTAACCCCTATATCCGCACCTCCTCTGTTTTTTGCGATCTTTCATTCATGACAACTCCCTGCTTTCTACTCTCAATATAAGTTGCTTTTCTCAATTACCATGGTGCCACCTGGCCATCGCCCAACGCTCTCAGACAAATGTTCTGGGTGGGCGGCTCCTGCTGTCCAGATGCGCTATATGTCTGGCCTCATAGTTCATGTCCTGACCCCATTCATTCCACCTGTCAAGGGGTCGCGCTCCCCTCTCTGCAATCAGCACTCTCGGGACCACCCCAAACACTAGCGAGAACCCTGGACGCCTCCATCCACCCCTGGGACCAGCCCCTCTGGGCCGCCCGGAGGCCGAAACCCCAGCTTTCTTAAGACCCAATCACATCCAGCTGGCAGTAACCAGAAGCTGGCGCTGCAGCTACTCACCACAGCGGCGGTGGTGAGGACGCAGGCGGTGGTGTAAGCGCGGCTCACTGGTGGGATCTGTAGGTACTCCAGCCGGAGGCTCTGGTACGCCATCTTTCCCACCGCCGCCAGCCCCCACTTCCCCTTCCGCCAGTCGACTCAAGCAGCGGGGTGGGATCAAAGAGAAGGTAGCTCCCTTTTTTAGGTACCTTTATATTGTCCAATAGGCGTTGCGCAGTCAGTCACCCACCAATCAATAGATAGCTAAAGAAAACACATTCACCAATCACGAGTGGCAACTCTACTGGCCTCCGCCTTCTTCTCCACCCACCAACGTCCGGTTTCTTTCGCCAATCCCTGCCAGCCACAGCTTACTTTCCCGCCTGGCTTCTTTTCATCACCAAGGTAGGGTCTCCTACTTCCGAAAGGACAGCCAGCCAATCAGGAGAGCCACCGAATCCCGCCTTTGCTTCCGTTCGCTGAGGTAAGTATCAGTCGGAACTTTCGGGCGCTTGCGGTGCCGCCAATGTCTGGCAACGTACTGTGGTTTAAAGGAGGTGGCGGGAAGCCGCTGTTAGGTCAAGTTCATCACTCCCTGGTCGCTTTGGTAAGTGCCGAGGGCCCACCTTTTCAATGAAGAGGAGCAAGAAAGGATGAACTGGATTAGTCCTCTGAGCGGGGGCAATGGAGGGTACTATTAGAACAACCTCGCCAGCCTTGTAGAAGGCGTCCGACCAGAAGGTCCCGGCATGCAGCTGGGTCGCAGGCCGGAAATAGTTCTGTTTACTCTTTACACCCTGCGAGACGTTTTCTGAGGGTTCTTACGCTCCTAAACTCCTGGACAGCTCCCGCGATTAATTTGCAAATATTTTAGCCGAACTCATCCTACCCTTAAGAATGCAAAGCCTAGCAGGGAAAATGAGACAGGCCTGCGAATAATAATAATCTCCTTAAAGTGGGACTAAAGGAACCTGGTGGTGTGGTGGGTTACAAGTTGGGCTGCGTCCCACAAGATTAGCAGTGCAAACCAACGAGCCACTTGGCGTATGAAAGATGAGGCTGCAGAGTTACAGGCTCGGGTTGATAGAGATGGGTTACTTAGGCATTGGCTACCCAAAATGGGTGGAGGGGCTATAAAGGCGAGAAGTGACTGGCTTACAAAGTTTCAAGAGGGAGCTTAGTTCCAGACAGGACAGGGGTAGGTAGAACCTCCACTGAATGATTTCCAATCTGTTGGGACCAGGCTGGCAAAAGGAAATGGGGATAAGAGTCTTGTACAATAGTGAATAATTGCCATCAGGACTGACTGTGAGTGTAGGAAATGTAGATGTTTTTTGAGAAAAGGAAGGGAGGTTCCTGGGACCATCAAGTGAGGAGTGGGACCCTACCCTGAGAGGCAGTGAAGCCGGGCATGGAGACAGATGATGGCGTAGACAGATGGAGTGATTGACACTGGAGGCGGGTGGGGGGGAGGCGGCCTGTGGGCTGTACCCTTTAGTTATTTGATGATGCATGGAGGGGACTGTAATCATTGCAATGAAACAAAATACGATAAGATGAATGTGAAGCTGATGTTCTCCCATGTAAACCCACATAATTCACAATAAAAACTTTAAAAAATAAAGAGTTACAGGCTCAGAAACCCAAAGAGGCAGTTCTTTTCTGCCCTACAGGGTCATTATGCGTGGGAATCGACCCCATGGCAGTGCATTTTATTTTGCTTTGGGGTTTAAAGTGGAACTTGGTCTCATCCGTGCCCTAAGAGAAGTTCTGGTGGTAATTCAGAGTAGGGAATGGGTATCAGGGAAGTGTATTTGAACTTGCCACCCTCTACAGGGTCTCTATGGGTTGGAACCGACTCAATGGCACTTAACAACAACAAATAGAGGGATAGTAGTTGGCCAAGACATTGCTCGAGGAGAAAACAGGAAAAGAAAATGGCACTGTTTTAGTTTGGTAGTGTTGCTGTAACCAAAACACCATACGGATGACTTTCAAGAACATGTTTTCTGATCGTTAAGTGCCCTCAAGTCATTTCCTACTGATAGCGACCCTGTGTAGCGTTTCCCAGGAGCAGCTGGTGAATTTGAATATGCAGTTCAAACCGACCTTGGGGTCCAGTGCTTAGCCTAGGGCGCCAACCAGGACTCCATTTAGGAGTTGTTAGTGTCTTCCAGTCCTTTCCGACTCATAGCAACTGTGTATAGGGTGTTTCCGAGGAGCAACTTGTGACCTTGAACTGCCAGCCTTGCTGTTAAAGCTACTTTGCAGTCCAGCGCATTAACCCACAGTGCCAGGACTCCAGGAAGTTAGGAGACTAGAGGTCTGAATTCAGAGCACCTGGCCATAGGCGAAGGCTCTCCCCTCCCATTCTGGGGGACGGTTCAGCTATTGTTCAGGTGTTCTTGGTTCCTTGTCTGCTGTTCTCACTTGTACTTCTGCTTTCCTAGGTCATGGCTTTTATCACTCAGCTGATTGGTTTTAGGACACACACTGATAAGACCTTAACATATCAAAGAAAATCCTTTTCCAAACAGGGTTACATCATAGATAAGTGTTAGGATTCCAACATAAATTTTAGGGGGAAACAAAGGGAGTCCTGGTGTGGTGGTGCTGTGGGTTAATGCGCCAAACTGCAAAGCTTTTTGAACTGCAATGTTGGCGGTTGAAGCTCACCAGCTGCTCCTCAGAAACCCTATACAGGGTTGCTATGGGTTGACAGCAACAACAATTCAAACCATAACACTCTTTGATTGGAGCAAGGAGTAGCTAGATCAAACTGGTGAGGTTAAGAATGTCATACATTAAATGGTAGGTTGTAAGGAGCTCTGGTAGCATAGTGGTTATGAATCGGGCTGCTAACCTCAGGGTAAGCAGTTCAAAACTACCAGCTGTTCTGTGAGAGAAAGATGAGGCTTTCTGCTCCAGTAAAGATTTACAGCCTCGGAAACCCTGTACTGGGTTGGAACTGCTATGAGTTGGAACTGACTCCATAGGACACAGCCACCACCAATTTGATGGTGTGGTGTGGCGCTGCATGATAAATGCACTAGACTGCAAGGACGGTGGTTCAAACTCCCCTGCTGCTCCTCAGAAACCCTTTACAGGGTTGCTATGAGTCAAAACTTACTCAACAGCACTTAACAACAATATGATGGTGTGGCACTGCAGGATATTGCACTAGACTGCAAGGTCAGTTGTAGCCGCAATATCGGCAGTTCAAATCCACCAGCCGCTCCTCGAAAATCTTAAACAGGGTCGCTATGAGTTGGAACTGACACAACAGCTCTTAACACAAGTATAACATGAAGTGGTCACAGATATAACATAGAGGAAAATGTAAGCATATGTATACAAAACTAGTTTTCAAGAATACATATATAAAGATAAATAGAGAAGCCATACTTTAAAACTAGATTCCTACTGGAATAAGAGATGAAAGGTATCAGTAAAATAAATGAGAGAAGGTAAATGTCTTGAAACAGGAAGTAGTGTCAACTCAGTTAAACATATGTGAGGTCCTTAAGGAGAAGGACAGAATGTGGTTAGTAAGGACTCAGTCACAAAGGCCTTTGGAAGCCATGCTTAAAGAATTTGAACTTGAACCTGAGGGTGTTCAGAAGTGCTGGGGAAACAACAATTCTGCCACCCCAGGGAATCCTCTCTACAAAATGGAGAAACGAAAGCAGTTTTAGTGAATAAGATGTGTGCCATCAAGTCGATTCTTATTCCTAATGATCTTATACTACAAAGTAGAACTGCCCTATAGGGTTTCTAGGATACAGGAGCAGATCCCCAAGTCTTTGCTTCCACAGAGCAGCTTGGTAGGTTCAAATCATGGACCTTTTTGGTTAGCAGCCAAGTGATTAACGATTGTGCTACCAGGACTCTTGAATAAGCATATCCAGATTAAACTGTATTACAGAGTCCAGGATGAAGCACTAGACCACAAGGTCGGCAGTTCAAGCTCATCAGCCACTGGTTGGAAACCATATACAGAGTAGCTATGAGTTAGGAACCAACTCAGTGACACTTAAAATATAACAACATAGATAGTCTGGGTGAGCTTACAAAGATAAGCTCTATCCTATTTATACAGCTAAACAGTACAACTGCTTTATAACCATTACATACATAATTTCTCAAGGTTTTCTTCTCATAAGATTTAACTATACAATTTCTTCAAATTCTTTTAAAATTCCGCTTCAAATTCATCTAGTGGTTGAGGTAGCTATTTGTGGTGTGGTGCTGAAGGATAAATATTAGTCTGCTAATCTCAAGGGTAAGGTAGAGGGTCAGAGAAAAAGAGGAAGACTCCCAACAAGATGGATTGGCCAAGTGGCAGCATTGATGGACTCAAGTGTGGCAACAGTAGTGAAGTTGGCCCAGGATTGACTTGATGGCACCTAACAACAACAACAATCTCAAGGGGTCCTGGTGTGCCGCTGTGGGTTAATGCACCAGACTGCAAAGCCATTTGAACTGCAAGCTTGGTGGTTCAAGCTCACCAGCTGCTCCTCGGAAACCCTATGTAGGGTCATTATGGGTTGTGATCAATCAACTTGATGGTACTTAACATTAACAACAATCTCAAGGTTGGTGGTTCAAACCCACTAACTGCTCCTTGGAAACCTTATACAGGATCGCTGTTTATTCAGAACTATTAATTCCATTTTTTCCACAAACTTTATGTAGCCCCACATGTTTCTATGAGACAGTACCCAGACCCTTGGAAAAAAGCATGTTGTGTATTGTAAAGCTGGCAAGAGACTTACTCAGCTTCTAATTGGATTTTTTCCCAATATTGGAAGTTGAGGACATTGGCAAGCAAGTATTTGAAATGATGAATCATGAGACCTAAAATGCATAGGGAAGGAAGTGAACTGGGAGAGATAAAGATTTAAAAAAATATACCAGAAGGCTGGAAGTCTTGAAATTAAAGTAAAATGTGAGTGAATGAGAGTGAGTGTGTTGTGGTAAAAAAAAAACTTAAGAACCATCAGGGAGAAAAGTTACAAATACCAAGAGCCAGATGGATTAAAAAGTGAAGATGAAGAGGTCATTGAAACTCAAGAAACTTAGTCTCTAGGCCTGTCTATCTAGACTTCAAAATTGCCTATGATGATAACAGATTACAGAAGACTGAGCCACATGTAAAAGGCCTCATTAATGAGAAAAATAAGCAATGAGGAGAGGGGGATACAGGCAGATGGAATGCTTCATGAGAGGTAAGGTTTGTATACCATTATGGATGAGTAAGGCCACAAGTGGCATTTGGGTCTCAGGAACCACAAACTCCTTATTTTTTGATGTGCTTGCTTCTTTTTCTCACCATGTGTGATATGGTTTGTATCTTCTCTCAGATAAATTTGTATTCTAACAATTCTTTTCCTTTTCACATTTGCAGAATTTTCACAATCTCCTAGTAAAATAAGCCAAGATGTCTGTTGATCCAATGACATATGAGACCCAGTTCTTTGGCTTTACACCACAGACTTGCATGCTTAGAGTCTACATTGCATTTCAAGACTACCTGTTTGAAGTGATGCAGGCTGTTGAACAGGTTATTGTGAAGAAGCTGGATGGCATCTCAAACTGTGATATCAGCCCCGTCCAAATTCGTAAATGCACAGAGAAGTTTCTTAGCTTCATGAAAGGACGTTTTGATCATCTTTTTAGCAAAATGGAACAGCTGTTTCTACAACTGATTTTGCATATTCCTCCCAACATTTTGCTTCCGGAAGATAAATCTCAGGAGATGCATCATTATAGTGAAGAAGAATTCCAACTTCTTCAAAAGGAAATTGAACAGTTACAGAAGAAATATAAGACTGAATTATGTGCTAAACAGGCCCTTCTTGCAGAATTAGAAGAGCAAAAAATTGTTCAGGCCAAACTCAGACAGACATTGACTTTGTTTGATGAGCTTTTAAATGTTGGCAGAGAGCATGGGACTAGTGACTTTAGGGAGAGTTTGGTATCCCTGGTCCAGAACTCCAGGAAACTGCAAAGCATTAGAGACAATATAGAAAAGGAAAGTGAAAGGATGAAAACATCTTAAATTTCTAAATGGTAAAAAGAAACTGTCACAAAGGATGGTAAGCCAATGACCTTTCTTACTCTATGAACCAGGCATTTGAAACTTTCTTTTATTTCACCAGGCATTTCGATCTTTCTTGTATTTCACATCTTCTTGTACATTCTCCTAAAGTGTCTATGAGCTATCCTTAAAGCCTCTGTCCTTAGGGGACTGTAATAGATGGGAAGGGATTCTTCATTCAGTAATGGCTCATTTGGAGACATATTAAAGAAGTTATTTCTCAGCTAGTCTAGGATATTTGTCAAATTGTGCCTTGCTCTTAAGTCCTTTGTGATCTTTTGGCTTCTTGTTTTGATGAGTGATTCCTTTATTGCTGCTGTTGTGAAATGCCATCAAGTTGGTTGTAACTCACAGTGGCCCTGTATAAGGTTTCTGAGGCTATAAATCTTTACGGGAGCAGAAAGCCTCCTCCCTCTTTCTTCAGCAGACTCCTTTATTAGCCAGCCATTGATTATACTGTGGGACTGCAAATTTAGTTAGCTTGCTCTTTGTTTTTGTTTTTTTTTTTTAAAACTATATAGCTTTTATTTTATCATTTCAGTAAGTTTAAAGTTTTAATCACAGAAAACACAATATAATTTCAAAAGTAAAAAGTAAGCTGTAGGGGGTGGGAAGTCAGCCAGGCTCAGGTGTTTAAGGCAACCAACCTGCACAACTGATCCCCCTGGCTGCACAGGACTATTGTCTTTAGCAGGGACATGCTGGTCAGTGGTGCCCTTGGGTGCTGACTAACGTGGTTTAGGACCTCCCAGTGGTTCTCCATGCTCTGTATGATGAGCCTGTTCATATGTGGCCTCCTCTTCCACCACATGTTCCTGACTTGTGGTCTCTTTTATCCTGTTTGTGTGCAGAATTCTCAGCTGTGGCAGCAGTGGCTAAGCTGGTATAAGACAAAACCTTCAGGCTATTCTTAGAGATGTGTACAATGAGCCTGTCCACCTGCTCCTGCAGCATGGTCAACATGGTAGATGAGCTCATGGAATCCTCCATCACTGTCTGGACCTCCAAAGGAGGCAGGGTACTCGGGGACAGATGGACATGGACATAATTCAGTTTTTCAACCTGATACTTAACCTTGTCAATCATCATGTAATACATCTCTGGTCTTCGGTACTCAGGGACTTGTAGACCTCAGCCATGATCTTATTTACCTGCATCATGGTCATGACCACGTTGATCTTGTAGGACATTCTCTGCAACATTGCCAACTCCCTACAAGATTGTGAGAACAACTTTGATCACTATTGGCCTTGTTAACTTATATTGTAGTGCTTTAAAGTCATCCTCCACCAGTTGCCTTGCTTTTACCCTCGATTGGTTCAGGACATCATCCAAGTCCAGTGCTGAGAGGTGGGGACATGAGGCCCTTCACACTGACAGTTCCTAGAATGCTTGCTCTTATTCAGAAACTTAATGAGGGAGGTACATACCTGATTGAAAGAAACAAGTAGCAGAAAAGGCCACTTTGATCTTTAGTAAAGAAGAAATAAGTTTGTGTTTTAAAACAAACCCTTCCATGATCAAGACCTTGATGATATTAAGCACTTTACTATCTTGGACTCCAGGAATAGAAGACATTGGACAGTAAAGAAGCAGATCCCATTGAAACAGAAGGATGCATGGAACAAACTTAGTAGCAAAATTTATACTGACTGTTAGGTATATGACTTGTACCAACTTAAAAAATTTTTTTCATTCTTCAGTTCATTGTGGAATTGCCTTGTAACTTAATATTTATTTATTTAGATTCTAATTTTATTTGGATTTTTATTCCACATCAGTGGGAAATCTTGGCTGAGTCTTAGTGCTTAAATTCAGTGGAGGCTAACATTTTTCCTTGTAAGTATAATCCATGTAGAATGTTAGATCCTAAGTATAATCCATGTAGAATGTTAGATCAACTGGAAAAAGGGGAGAAATTAAAATAGTTTTTAAGATATAGCTTGCCCTCATGTCTTCCTAAACAACAGTATTTGTAATGTCTTTATTTACAGAGGGGCTAATTTAGGGTATTAATATTTGCAATTAAATAGATTAGATAGCCTGCTTTTAACTACAATATGTATGTATCAAGCAGTCCTTTTCCTAATCCTGTCCATTAAATACTTAAGTTTTAAAAGTTTTTTTGTTGTTAATCTACAATGTCATGTTAATCTACAATGTCATGTTGTTAATCTACAATGTGTTTGTTTCCTCAGTGTGAGTTTTTATTCAAGTGAAATGTATCTGTTGCTTTCACATTGTAGTTTATTCAAAATCTCCTAATGAAATGTATTAAATATTATTGATGTTGGGCACTATCAAATCAATTCCAGCTCATAGCAATCCCTTGTGATAGGGTAGAACTGCCCCATTGGTGTTTGTTGTTTGGGAATTGTTTTAATGGTAATCTTTACAGAAGTAGATCATCAAGTCTTAATCCCATCGAGGTACTGGGTGAGTTCAGACCACCAACCTTTCTGTTCACTTAGCAGCTTAGTACTTAATTGTTGCACCACCTGGCTCCCTATGGGTTGAATAGTGGTCCCACAAAAGATATGTCCATATCCTACTTCCCAGAAACTTTGAATGTTACCATATTTGGAGTGGGGATAAAACGTCTTTACAGATCTAAGTAAATTACGGATCTTGAGATAAGGAGAGCATCTGGGTATCTTGTGGGCCCTAAATCCAAAGACAAGTGTCTTTATAAGAGAAGAAAAGGAGATGTGAGAGAGAAGAGGAAGAGGTAAATAAGACCATGGAGACAAGAGAGTGAAGTAATATAACCATAAAGTCAAAGAATGTCAACAACCGTCAGAAGCTGGAAGAGGCAGAGAAAGGATTCTCAAGCTTCCAAACGGAGTGCAGCCCTGCTAACACCTTCATTTCAGACTTCTGGCCTTCAGAACTGATAGGATTCATTTATATTGTTTTAAACCACTATGTGTGTGATGTGTTAAGTCTTACCGAGTCCGATTCAACTCATGACCCCGGAAGTAGCTTCTAAGAAGTGACTGGGTTTGAGCCACCTACCTTTAGGCTAGCAATCTAGTACTTATCCTGCATTGCCACACCAGAACTCCACTGGCATGTTGAGGGGACCTGACAGGGAGAGAGATGACACTGAGGGCTCTGTACAGCTATTTCTTGGGGATGCTGTACCTTGGAATGGTGGATAGCGGAGTGAAGTCTTTTGGAGGCACTGTAGGAATGTTATGAAGATAATGGGGAGACCCTTGGGACAGATTAAGGTGTTTGGCAGGGTCCAGTGTGCCTGGTGTGGTACTGTAGGATCAGCACTGGACTGCAAATCATAAGGTCATCAGTTCAACTGACAGCTGCCCCTCAGAAACCAGAGCCCACACCGACTCAACAGCACTTAACAACAGTGCATGGTTGGAAATTGAGAGTTTAAAGTAAAGGAGACTCAAAAAAAAAAAAAAAGATTTATTCTATCAGTTATACCACAATTACATTCCTAATAAAGTACATGCAACATGCAGTATTAGTGCTCTGTGTATTTTCTTTACATCTGAGAGCAGATGGAGATGGCAGGTGGGTGAACCTGCCAAGGTGGGTTCTGGGGTCTGAAATGATAAACTAGGGATCTGGTCGTTTTCTAACAGGAACTCTTCAATGTCAGATCCCAACTGGCTTCATCTTCAGGCACAACTCTGGAAGGGTTCCAGGCTAAGATGAAGCCCCAAAAGCACCAAGGGCAGCCCTCCCCCCACCAATGTCTCATTCCATAAAACGCTCACATTCTGGGCCTGAGAGGTATGCAGACGTGGGTCCCATATCGTCCAGGACACGTCCAAAGCTGGTATCTCAGCAGGGCAGATCCTCTGGCTGCATTGCTTCCACCAGCTCGGTCGAGGCTGATATTGGAAAAACATGGCGCTAATCAACAGGAACCCCTGGGGACAAGACGGCGCACAGCCCAGGCAAACTCCACTTACCGCGTCCATTGCTACTGCGGTGCGGGTGCCATCTGTAGGCTCAGGTCTGCCAGCTCCCAACGTAAGAATTCTGGCCGCGTCAGCTTCGGCGCAGAGCTGTCTCTTCCTGGGGGTGACCTTCTACTGGTGACCCACGTTAGAAGACGACCTTGGGTGTGGTTTTTTTTTTACAAAACAGAAAAGTTTGTTCGCAGTGTGCGCCCCCAATACAGGATAGATTACCTGCTCCACGTCTCACTTCACAAATTGGTGGAACTCGAGGGCATTATCCTAGTCACAAACGGGGTTCAGTAGCACCTCAAGATTCTAAGCATTGGTAACGACTAGCCCTCGCCCAGGTGCTCCTGTTGTGCCGCTGTAGGACAAGCACTAGACTGCAAGCCCAATCTGCAAGGTTGGTGGTTCAAACCCACCAACCGCTCCTCGGGAACCCTATACAGGGCCGCTACAGGTCGGAACCGACTCGATAGCACTTAACAGCACACTTATTCCATTCCCAACAGCTGCTTTGGACTTTCCTTTAAATAGATGGTGACAGCAAAGAAGAGGCACATTGAGAACTAGATGAAGGGGTGTGTGCATCTAGTCCCCCAGACAACATGTTGAGCGCTTTTCCTGTTACCTTCTCCCTCGGCCCTGTGCCCAGCCCAGCCCGCCAGGACCACTTAGGCCAGCTGTAAATGGATATAGGTAAAAATGCAGGAGGTAATGGAGAAGGCGATGGCCGCGTATATGAAGATGGAGAGGTGTGGGAAATGGTCGAGATAGCAGCCCTCGTCCTGAGGAGGCGACTCCTCTAGCGGGAGACGCTCAGTGGCCTTCTGGGGTTGCCCCTCGCCGGACCCTCGCGTTTTCCCGCCCACGCGCCGACCAGCCTTCTTGCCCACGGCGGACGCGGGTTTGGGCACACAGGCTTCTGGCAGCTCCTCTGGGGGCAGTTTGTCAAACAGGTCTTCAGAGTCAGGGTCGTGATCCGGACCCCAGGGTTTGCGCTGAAAGGGTCCGTCAGCCATTGGAGGGGATCGCCGAAAGGTGGGTCTGTAGG